GCCCGCCCGCTCCCCGGCCGGAGGCGGGAGCCCCCCAGCATCCCGGCTGCCGCCCACCTTGCTGCGGTACCAGCTCTCGGCCTCGGCCCGGCTGCGGCTGGCGATGTCGTCGTACTGGGCCTTGATCTCGGCGATGACGCTGTCCATGTTCAGGTCGCGGCTGTTGTCCATCTTGACGACCACCGAGGTGTCTGAGATGTGGGCGTGGAGCACGCGGATCTCCTGCGGGCGGGCCGGGAAGGACCCTGCTTACAACACAGCTCCACCGCCAGAGCGACAGCCGGTCTCCCCGCCGCGCCCCGGGCTGCAGCCCTGCGCCCCGACAGCCTCATCACCCCGCACCCACCTGCGTCCAGCCCGCGCCCAGGCACCAGCCGCTCCGCCAGGGCCCCCCGTTTCCCTGCACGCGCCCCTCACCTCCTCATACAGCCGCCGCAGGAAGTCGATCTCCTGGGTCAGGGCCTCCACGTTGGCCTCCAGGTCCGACTTGCGCAGGTAGGCGCAGTCCACATCCTGGGAGGAGACCCTGTGACTCCCGGCCCGGGGACCCCGCCCAGGCGGCTCCCCTCGCAGCCGGCCACGAGGCCAGGGACGGGCCCCGTCTGCCCCCACCCCCTCCCAGGGGCCTCGCGGCGGCTCCCGGCCAGAACAGGCCCAGTGGCTTGCGGAGGGCCAGCGCCTCCCCAGCCCTGAGCCTGGCCCTCCCATCTCCCGCTCCTGTCCCAGAAGCCTGCCCACACGGACTCCTGCCCGGCCACCTGGCCTTCCCTGTCCCTGCCCGTCCCCTGACCCGGCCCGGCCCCTCCTGGTCCTGCTCCGGCCTCCCCAACCAGCCTCCTCCACCCGGCCTGTGCAGTGTCTCTTGCTGGCCAGACTCCTCGCAGCTCTGGGGGACACTGCCCCCCAACAGACTCTGAAGCCCCACGGACCCCAGCGCAGACCCCAGCCCAAGCACAGTGGGGCACCCAGGGGTCAAGACAGCCCCCCGCCCAGGCAGGCCTAGGGAACCTTCTGGGCGCCGCCCTGTGCCGACGCCGGGGCGGCCCCACGCGCCGCCTCTGGGCACCCCCAGCTGCCTGGGCAGGGCGCCCACGCTGGGCCTGAGGCCCGACACGGGTCTCCCCCGTGCCCAGAGCCCCCGTGTGAGCGCCTCCGCCGCGGGCTCACCTTCTTCAGGGCCACAAACTCGTTCTCGGCTGTCGCTCTCAGAGAAACCTCCTCCTCGTACCTGAGGCCGAGAGGACAAGTAGGGGTCTGGCGTCAGGGCCGGCTCCCCGCACCCCGCACTTCCCCGCAGCCGGGGGCAGTGCCAGGAGCCCTCCCACAAGCTGGGCCCTGACCCCACCGGCTCCTCCTGGCTGGACTTGGGGTGTCCGTGATGCTCCCCGCACTTGACCGGGGCGGCGGGGACTAATCTTCTGGTACCTCCAGATCTGCCCAGAGGGGACGTCTCTGACGTCC